CCTGGCCATTTTTTGGTTGCAGCCATCATTGTTGTTTGGCGGGCCTGGGCTGGATTCGAACCTGCCACCTTAGGTGTATATGGCTGGTGCCTTAGCCACTTGAGCCACAGGCGCCGAGCCTGGGCCTCATATTTCTTTAAATTGAGCTATACTGGGCTCACAATACAAGGTATACATCTTAAGCACACAGCTTGATTAAGTTTTACCTAGTTAACCACCGCCCACCTAGAGTGAGAAGAGACAAGACTTCTAGACGGTTCTCTCAGGTTCCCCAGGGCAGCCAGTGTTCTGATCTCCATCACCATAACCCGGTTTTGCCTGTTTTAAAACTTCGTACAAACGGAATCGTGCAGATGTATTCTTTTGGCTCCAGCTCCCTTCACTCACGCTGCTCGCGTGTCAATACCCCATCCTCTTTCTCTCGCTGGGGAGAGTCCAGCCCTGGCTCCCTGTACCAGCTCCCCGAACCGAGAAGCAGGGCCCTCGCCCGCTGTGACATCCCACTGCCTTGCAGACGGCCAATCGGGAGGGGTGTTGTTGAGCTCCAGCCAAAGGCAAAGGGCTTCTGGATTATCTGCTATCAGGTCTCTCTTGCTACCAACAGCCGGTCCCCGAGGCTGGTGCCTTGCTCACTGACCTGACCCTCATGCCCTGGAACATCTCGGTGCTGGTGTGGAAGGGCAGCACCGTGGTGGCGCTGACGCCCGGACAGTCCAGCAGCCCCAGGGTCAGGCTCTCCATGAAGGCGAAGGCCGACGCTTTGGATGTGCAGTAGTCGATGGCCCCGGGGATGGCAGACAGCGCCAGCACGGAGTTGAGGCACACGATGTGGCCGTTCTGCAGCTCCAGCATGCGTGGCAAGAAGGCCTTGGTGGTCTGAGGGTAGAGGGGGCATCAGTGTGGAGCAGCCGCAGCTTCCAACATCCCCTCCACTCCCCCTCGCTCGGGGAGAATGGCCCACCCTAGACATACTCGCTGGGGTGGGGGTTGGGCCAAGGGCTCCCCTGTGGGACACTGAGCTCATGTTCCAGAAGGTCTGATGCCTCCTGGGGGTGCTCATTCCTTTTAGCTGGCCACCTTGTCCTTTGGATAACCCTGCTGGCCTGAGTCCAAGCCCTGGTGTGTCTCTCCTTTCGCCCCCCCTGCCCCTCCCTCCCGGGCTCCCTGTTATGCCCAGGGCTGGCTCTGGCTCAGGACGGCCCTTACCCAGAACTGTCCCAATGTGTTGATATGCTGGGACTTGAGGAGGGCGTCATCGTCACTGTCCATCAGGCTCTTCCCGTGGACCACGGCAGCATTGTTTACCAGGATGGTGATGTCACCCACCTGCGGGGGACAAGGGGCTATGGGGGGGCCATGAGGGTAGCCAGCCCCAGGGGGCTTGCCTATGTCGGTATGTAGACCTGTCCCCCTGCCACCCTACCAGCCATGGGGCCTTGGGAAACCACATCACCTCTCTGAGCGCCAGTCTTGATTTGTGAGATGGGGATAGTGCCACAGCAGGGCTGTTCTGAGGAGTGGAAATAATTTTTGCTACATAACGTCCCTGGCACACAACATATTTATAATAAATGGGGTTATTGTTACATAAACGTAGTTGACATCACCACGTACTAGACACATAACAGAGTGGCTTTTGCTCTCCTGGAGTTCACTATATATATACTCAGTGCAAACAGATGCCTGGAGTCAGGAGAGGGATATCCCCAGAGGGCAATGGGACATTCACCAGGGTCTCCGGAAAGAAACCCACAAGGGGACTATAGGTTAATGCTCCTGTTACATAACCAGCCCTAACCCTGTCTACTTGGTCCAGCTTCACGGGAGAATCCCTGAGGGTGCCCTGCACAAAGCCATTCTACCATAAGCAAGGCTCTCTCCTGGGTCACGTGAGGATGTTCTCACTGCCCGGCGTTAACCTGTGGTTGGCTGCGCTGAGGACAGACCCTTCCAGGCTGCTCACCTTCTCTCGGACAGCTTTGGCCGTCTGGTACACCTCCTCCCGGTTGCCCACATCACAGATGAAATAGTGGCACTCCGTGCCCATCTGCTGAATCTCCTCCGTTGTCTCCTTCAAGCATTTCTCAGTACGGCCCCAGAGAACAATCTGGAAGGAGAGAATAACAGCGCTGAATGAGTCAGTGGCCACTAAGCAAGCCATAGTAATTCAGCGACTGCTGTCAGAAGCCCTGCATTTAAATAATTTGTCTTGATGCCAGGTGCGGTGGCTCACACCTGTAATCCTAGAATTCTGGGAGGCCGAAGCAAGTGGATTGCCTGAGCTCAGGAGCTTGAGACCAGCCTGAGCCAGAGGGAGAACCCGGCTGTAAAAAAATAGCTGGGCGTTGCAGCAGGTACTGGTAGTCCTAGCTACTTGGGAGGCTGAGGAAGGAGGATGGTTGAGCCCAAGAGTTTAAAGTTGCTGTGAGCTGTGATGCCATGACACTCTAACCAGGGTGATTAGAGTGAGACTCTGTCTCAAAAAATAAAATAAAATAAAATAATTTGTCTTTAAATTACTGGCCTCCCTGACCTTACCCAAAGATAAAGTACACCAAGTAAAAATAACAATATACATTTTTAAAGGGACATAGCCTACTCTTTAGTAAACCAGCAGTTTCTCAGCCCACTTAAGATCAGTGGATATGTTATTTATAAGTCTTTCCTTCTTTTCTTTTTTTAGAGGCAGAGTCTCACTTTATCACCCTCAGTAGAGTCACAGCTCACAGCAACCTCTAACTCCTGGGCTTAGGTGATTTTCTTGCCTCAGCCTCCCAAGTAGCTGGGACTACAGGTGCCCGCCACAACACCTGGCTATATTTTTGGTGCAGTTTGGCCGGGGCTGGGTTCGAACCCACCACTTGGTATATGGGGCCGGGGCCCTACTCACTGAGCCACAGGTGCCGCCCATTTACAAGTCTTTCTTTCGTATTCCTTCCAGCAGGCCACCTCCTGCCGGCCCAACTCCGGTGACCCCCAGAGCCATTTGTGTGCAGCAGCCTCTCATGCCCTTGGTTAGGAACCAGTGGCCTTCTCATCAGTTAGCTCTAGAGCCAGGTATTAGGGTGGACCGGGCAGTTCACAGAGGCCAGGAGAACATCCCCCTAGCTGCAGCCACTCCAGAAAAGCAGCAGGGAGCCTCCTGAATAGCAGACACCGATGCCTCACCCAGCAGGTAATAAATGTGGGCTCATTATACCAGGAGGTGACCTTAGCAGGACCAATAAAGGTTTGGACAACTTTATGAATGGCTGGCTCATAAAAGGCTCAGAGGAGAGGCCCGGCTAATTCCCAACCTTGACCTACAGGAGCACAGTCCATGTCCTCTTGACACGGGGTTGGGGGGCGGTGGGCAGCGAGGCCTCCGTTGGCAGAAGGACCCCAGGGTGGATGACAGGGGAGAGTGACTAGAAACCCTAACTAAGAATTAGCCCAACCAGCACTGAGGCGGGAGGGCTGGGGCTGGACACTGCTCAGGACAATGGCAGAGAAACGGAAAGCGCCAATGGGTTTCTATTTCTGTTTCTTTTCCTTCTTTAAAAAATTATCAGGCTGGGCGTGGTAGCTCACGCCTATAATCCTAGCACTCTGGGAGGCCAAGGTGGGGGAACTGCTCGAGCTTGAGCTCAGGAGTTCCAGACCAGCCTGAACAGGAGTGAGGCCCCTGTCTCTACTAAAAATAGAAAAACTAACTGGGCACTGTGGCAGGCGCCTGTAGTCCCAGCTTCTCAGGAGGCTGAGGCATGAGGATTGTGAGCTATGACGCCACAGCACTCTACCCAGGGCGACAGGGTAAGACTCTGTCTTAAAACCAAAACAAAACAGGGCGATGTCAGTGGCTTAAGGACCAGGGTGCCGGCCCCATATGCCAGAGGTGGTGGGTTCAAACCCAGCCCTGGCCAAAACAAAACAAAACAAAAAATGAACAACAACAACAAAAACCCTAACATAGAAACCCCAATTTGTAAAACCAATAAAAGGGATACATGTTACATCCAATTCCATCATATTTTCTTACTCTAAAAGCTATTAGTGAGAACGAAAAGGCTGCTATGGGAAGGCAAATATTTTAAACAAGGGGTTACAGATGGAAACCAATTGATTTCTCTGTTTTGCTACATTACAGGACACAGAGAAAAGTCCTACAGATGGGGAACTGCTGAGTGTAGCATTTATCAGCTGCTAAATGTGAACCTCAGAACTGTCACTTAAACAGAAAGGGCACAAGATGGGATGAGTGAGGGACACACAAATATTCGGGTGGCCTCCAGTGGATTTTTTTTTTTTTTTGAGACAGAGTCTCACTTTGTCACTCTCAATAGAGTGCCATGGCATCACTGCTCACAGCAACCTCCAACTCCTGGGCTTAAGCAATTCTCTTGCCTCAGCCTCCCAAGTAGCTGGGACTACAGGCTCCTGCCACAACCCCCAGCTATTTTTGTTGTTGTTGCAGCTGTCATTGTGGTTTAACTGGCTGGGGTTGGGTTCGAACCTGCCAACCTCAGTGCATGTGGCTGGCGCCATAACCACTGTGCTACGGGGGCCAACCCATGGATTTGATTTTTTAATTAAGAGTTTTAAAAACTTTTAAAATATTTCATAAAAAAAATGAAAGTGTTCTCTCAACCCTAAAACAGCTCTGGGAAAGCCCAATTTAAAGATCCCATTTAGTCCAACCACTTTATTTTAACTGACGTCTTTAAATGCAAGAACAGCTTTACAAGGAAGGGGTCTACCAGTTGCTTTCCACGACCACAAAAGTCCAACGCAAACGGACTGCAATTAAACAGGCTCCAAGGGACACTTTCTTGTCTCTTGAACTAAAAATAGACTGAGCATTTGTTTGTCCAGGAGTGCCTGGGAGGTTCGTTCATGGAGAAGGAAGGGGGCATTTGTTCCCTGTGTGTGTTGCTCCAGGAAAGCGATTTGGTGAAGGCATCTCCACTCCACGGGACCCCACCCTCACCTTGCAGCCACTGTCATCCAGGTTTCCCCGTCTATCCTCCTTGTACCCCGTCCACCTGTCCATCCATCTGTCTTTCCATCCATCAGTTCACGTGGCTGCCTGCCCACCCATCCGTCTACCTGTTCATCTACCAACCATCCACCCATTCCTCTACCCACCACCTACCCATCCAGCTGTCCATCTGGCTGCCTGTCCACTCACCCATCTACTTGTTCCTCCACACACTATCCACCCATCCCTCTACCCATTCATCCATCTGTCTGTGCAGCCACCCATACATCTGTCCACCCACCCTCTCCATTTCTGAGAATGTTAGCCCAAGGGGATGCTAATCCTTGGTCTTTCTCCTGTTATTTCCTGCCTAACCCCATCACATCCCTGGCTCATGTGGGTAACAGGACCACAGGGCTTGCACAGTTCCTGAGGGCCTGACTAAGGCAGGGAGAGAGGGAAAGCTTATAGCTGGGAGGCTTGCTGGGAGGTACAAGGCTCAGATGCCTGGGAGAACAAGCGATCGCCCCAGAGAGGTCTGCAGCAGTGGTCCCCATGAGGTACCTTCTGCTCCAGGAAGCCTGGGTTTGCTTCTTGGAACGGGCAGATGGGCCTGGGGCTCCTTGGCCCCAGATAAATGCACTCTTTCTGGGCCTCTGATTCCTGCGTAAGGCGAGGCGGCCGGGGTCTGAAGCTCCCTGTGGTCTGACTGAGCAACCTGCAGTCAGGGAACCAGGGAGACCACCTGGAAAGGAAGCTGGTGGGTGAGGGAGCTGGGATGAAGGCTTGTGCCCCATCGTGTTGTATGTATGGCAAGGCTGGCCACCCGGCAGGGCCCTAGGTCTGGAGGATGCCCCCCTGGGCCAGGGGCATGGCCCCCTCTCCCCGGCACTGTGATGGCTTTGTCTTTCTCCCTGCTCACCCCTCATCCTGTTGGCCTGGGAGCCCGTTTGTCTTGTCCATTTTCACAGCCCAGTGACCAGCACGGCACGTGCTCTTTGTTGAATGAATGAATGGAAGTTGCCGCAGGTGAGAGGACAATCAGGGAGGCCGGGTTTCCCCAGAGCATGGAAACCTCTCCAGGCAGGGCTGAGAGGCAAGGAGCTGGCACCAAGGCGGGCTGCCGTGTGGGTGCCCTGCCAGGCGCCTCTGTGTGAGTCTGTGTTTGTAACAGTGCTCTGCGGCATCTCTCAGTGTGTGTCTCTGTGAGTCTGTGGGTATCTCTGTCTGTGTGTGTGTGTCCTCTGCATTTGTGCATGTGTCTCTGTGTTTTCCTCTTCATGTGTCCATGAGTGTGTGTCCTGTGCGACTCTGAGTGTATCTCTGTGTCTGTGTCTCCGTGTGTCCCCGAGTGTGTGTCCCCGAGTGTGTGTCCTGTGCGTCTCTGAGTGTGTCCCCGAGTGTGTGTCCTGTGCATCTGTGTAGCCTGTGCACTGCTGTGTTTCCTCAGGTCCTTTGGTGGGTGCTCAGGGTTTGCTCAGGGTCCCTAGGGAGCTGGACTGGGCGGCCAGGGTGAGGGAGCCAAGTGGAGGACACAGCCCTTTCCTGGTAGGTGCTGTCGCAGAGCCACCCCGGCTACTGTTCCTTCCTGGCCCCTCCTCCCCTCAGTCCCTTGTCCCGAGCCCTCTGGGGAATCTGAGTCACTGACCAGGAAACTGGCAGGCGTAGCTCAGCAGGCCTGCCCAGGTGGTTCCTGCCAGGGTCACCTGGGGGTGACCCAGACGGCGGGCAGGACGGGAGTCTGGCCCAGCCCTGGCAGGTGGGTGTCTGATGGTGTGCGGGGTAGGAAGCCTGCAAAGATACAGATTTAATATGAGCCCTGGGAACCCAACCTGGCCTCCTCGTTGTGAACTCCCAGGACAGGGAGCTGCTGGGGAGGGTCAGGGGCCCGAAATTTACTCTTAAGCTGGTTTACAAAATAAGGCTGGAGTGGCTGGACACCTCATAGCTGCCCCAACCCTCAGGGGCACACAGTGGGCCAATGTCCCCCTTCTTCACCCTGTGACCAGCCAGAGGGTGCAGGGCAGGGGGAGACCCTGGCCTCATGTTGGAGGTGCAGACCTGCCCCGCCTCACCCAGAGCTGGCCTGAACCCCTCATCAGCCCCATGAACTGAAGGCAGTTATAATCTACTTTCATAGCTCAGGAAAC